CGCCTGCCTGCATCCACGTGTTGCGCGCCGTCTCGGCGGCAGTTTTTCTGCACAGTGCGGCGACTAGGCCTCGTCTGCCGCAATAGGAATACGACGTTCCGTGATCGCTCTCGCGTGCGCTTGTGTGACCACGTTTTGCGGTCGGTGCCGGTTTTTTTTCTTTCTGTGACTCTCCCGTTGTGTGACTACCTTTCCCACTGTCTCTACCCGCCGGTCATCGTGTTCGCTCGTGGTTCTTCGTTTGTTCCCGACGCACGAGAGTGTTAGTCGGACACGCTGGGACTTACACTGTGCGATTGTAATCGGCGAGCGGTTTTTTGCGCGATTTCTCGGTTCAGTTGTGGTGTGGTGGTGGAGACAAGTTTTCCTGTGGGTGTAGATCTGCGGATTGGTGTAGTCAGCTGCATAAATTGGGGATCTTCCAGCACGGAAATACTTCGGGCTCGTCTTACTCATCAGATGCTGGTACATCTATTCGGTAAGTAGAGCAATGGCTACCGGTATATCATACGAGACAGTTCTTGTTTTTTTATCACAGCCATCATCGTCAATCATGTGCCAATATTTGTTGCTAATTCTGAAACCTACTCGCATACCACACACAATTAGCTAAACACAAGGGAAAGTGAATACGAACTTCAAATGCTTTGTAACAGTGCCCCGGGGGCTTTCACTTTTAGCAACAAGCAACTCAATGAATCTTTGTGTGGATTGAAAAATTACGTTGCGCGGTTCACCAGCGGTTCTTGTGAGGGGTTCGGCGAGCTCCATCCCGCCCACGTGCGTCGCAAACGATGAACCGGGCGTAAGCGAGAGTTGCCCGTCGCAGTGACCAGTTGGCGCGCAATCCTATGCAGACCACGACCGCACCTCTGCCAGAAGCGCTTTCCTTCTCGGCAAACACAGGCAGACGGCCAGCGGCCAGTCATGCATCCCGAGTTTCTCCTTAAAATCGCGTGATTGATGGCCATGTAATTTCCTCGGACAATCCACTCGACGTAAGTGCAAAAATGCACTGATATGGGAATTTATTAGCGGTCAGCGTCAGAAATCGTAATGTGAAATTGGGCAAGAGGCGTACACAGAAAAATACTGGGCGACCCTGATCCAGTCACGTGGAATGTGACTTTCCCTGCGTCGCACTTCAATTGAGGGTTCTGAAATTGCTGTCAGTGTCAACACCACTTACAAGATAATTCGAAAATTCAATACACAATTACCCATCTTGGATTATTACTTTCCGGCTTGTATCTTTCGATATATGGACTGTAAATTAGCAAATACTTTTTTATAAAGCGCTGTTTCAGAAAAAAAAACACATTTTTTCTAACTGAGTATTATATCACTGCATTACGATCCTCTGAATCTTAATATGTAATACAATATCGTGTGATGATTCACACGTTTGTCACATGGAATGCTGTGACATATTTTTAATGATACACACGGTGCCTATTAATTTTGACAACTCGATCTTCCAAGAAATAATAGTTCGATATACACACAATAGGAGTTTCAAAAGACACGCTCTATGCTCTAACAAATAAAATATATATTAGCGCGATAAACAAATTTCGAACAATTAACCGAGTTTCTCCTTCAATTACGTGATGGGAGGCCAAGTAATTCACTCGAGTTATCCACTTGACTGCAGAAGACTGGGTCGAGGATCGAAGCAAAATTATGAATGGTCAGCATGGCGGCTTGTGGAGTGAAAGAGGTTAAGGGGTGTAGACAGATGAATACCGGGCGTCCCTGATCCAGACACTTGGAATGTTGCTTTCCCTCGGCTGCACCTGAAATGTGTGTGCTGTAATTGCTGCCTTCTTTTCTCGTGCCTCTAGTGCGATAAAGAGTGAACTCGAGCATTATTTTATTACCTTATATTTTATTTTCCTAATAGGTAATTCTGTGTCAAATGTGTAATATAATACACAGTTGGTGACAAAATTTTCCCTTCTCAACTTCATTTCTTACTGCTACATTTCGTACCACTGCATTTCAATGTGTAAAGAGCAAATTATTCTCCACGTAATATTTAAATACATGAACTATCATGTTATGGAATGGAATGGCATTGATGGATTGATTTACTAAATTAAAATAAAATAACTATATGAATGATTTTATGTGTAAGATATTATTGAAATTATTAGTTCTAAGATTAAATACATTTAGCTTGCTATTGCATATTTAGTGTGCTAGAGAAATTTCTTATTATGAATTGTTTTGACCAAATACGAGTATTTTGGTCAACATTTAAAATAGCACAAACATTAATTTACAGTGAATGTAAATTATCTTCATGTGTGCTTCAAGTTTATTTCAATAGTTCCAAAGATAATAAAAAAAATTGTTTAAATTATTTTTAATAATACTTTCATACTAACACAGTTGTTCATAGTGAGTCAGAAAGAGTAAGTACGGAATGTTCGCGGAGATCAGAGCGGGATATTAGTTCAGCATCCGATAGCACACAATACCAGCTTGCCAAACCCTCATACACTTAGAGCTTACACCACTCACGTGTCGAGTACCATGATATAGCGTTCCTCGAAGTCAGTCGAACGACGGAGACCCGGTGAAAGCACAACAAAGTAGGTTTAATGCGATTCGGCCAAGGAGGGTTACGCTGTCGGCGGCGGCGGCGGCGGTTTGGGTTCCCAGCCACGGCTCATTAGGGCTCGGAGGACTCTGGGGCGGCCGCTCTCCGTTACCCAACGCGTCGCGCTTCGCCTCGCCTCACTCCCCGCCCACCCCACCCCCGCGTTTCCAGCGGGCACCCACGGCCACTCCGCGGCCCCGTCGCAGCGTGCGCTTCTCACGGAGCGCTGTTCGCATTTCCTTTGTTTGTTTTTTTAATTATCTATGCGTTTATTTTTGAAGCGAGCCATCAAACCGAAACGGTAAACATTAAAAAGAGTTTCAATAGACCGATACCAAAATAGTTTTATCAAGGGTCCTGGAACAACTTGTTACTAACTAGTTGACCAAGTAGGGGGGGATTTTTTTAATTATCTACGCGTGTATTTTTGAAGCGAGACATCAAACCGAAACGGTAAACGTTAAAAAGAGTTTCAACTGACCGATACCGAAAGCGATTCTCCTGGGGTCTTGGAACAAATGTTACTAACTTCTGGACCATGTAGGGGGGTTGGTTTTTTAATTATCTGTTCATTTATTTTGAAGCAAGCTATCAAACCGAAACGGTAAATATTAAAAGAGTTTCAATAGACCGATGCCGAAAGCGATTCTCCTGGGGTCCTGGAACAAATGTTACTAACTTCTTGACCATGTAGGGTTTTTCTTTTTAATTATCTATTCATTTATTTTGAAGCGAGACATCAAACTGAAACGGTGAACTTTAAAAAGTGTTTCAATAGACCGATAGTGAAAGCGATTTTCTTGGGGCCCTGGAACAAATGTTACTAACTTCTTGACCATGTAGCAGGGTTTGCTTTTTAATTATCTATGCGTTTATTTTGAAGCGAGACATCGAACTGAAACGGTGAACATTAAAAAGTTTCAATAGACCGATACCGAAAGCGATTTTCCGGAGGTCCTAGAACAAATGTTACTAACTTCTTGACCATGCAGGGTTTTTCTTTTTAATTATCTGTTCATTTATTTTGAAGCGAAACATCAAACCGAACGGTAAATATTAAAAAGAGTTTCAATAGACCGATACCGAAAGCGTTTTTCCTGTGATCCTGGAACAAATGATAGTTGACCATGTAGGGGGGGGGTTATTATCTTTGCGTTTATTTTGAAGAGAGACATCAAACTGAAACGGTGAACATTAAAAAGTTTCAATAGACCGATACCGAGAGCGTTTTTCCTGGGGTCCTGGAACAAATGATACTAACTTCTTGATCATATAGCGGGTTGAAGATGATTACTTTTTGCCAATCAATATGTGATGGAACATTTCACTTTATGAGATTACACATGGTATATTTGCGTCTGAGTGGCAGGCAAGTCTTATGTTTGGAAGGTACAAGAAATTTGACGTCAATAAGTAACCTCCCAAATATCAAATGCTCGATGAGTTGTCTACCACTCAGCAGCAAATATCACATGTGTAACTTACTTAGATGAAATTATCCACCACATGTTCATTGTTAAAACGTAGGATCTTCGACCCCTAAATGACCTAAACGTTTGTAATATATAGTCCTCCTGTATTGCTGTAATTGTAACTAAATGAGTGGTTTTCAGTTCAGGTTTTTAAAAGATCTTTATAATGCCGTTAAATTTATTGAGATAGATTCACCTACCAAATGTGCAAATAACAGGCGTCTAAGCTCTGCCTAGTGCGTCTTCTTCCCCTCTCCTCCAATTCTAATTCTCAGATTGATAATTATATGTCCTGGCTTTGGAAAAGAGGGACCCATCGCCTGCACAGTGGTTACTAATTATGTTGCAATCAAAATGTTGACTGTTTTTAATGAGTACACAATACTCCTCGTTACTATATGTTATTTTCATATAAAACATAATATAAAAACTCATGAGTTTGGCCTTGAGGGTTAGGAAACCAGAAAGGACTAAAATGATAGCAATATTGATTCACGCTGCGAGACAAAACACAACTTATACTTTACTCGTATATTACTTCATTGATTACACACACACATTACACACACATACAAACAAACAATAGAAATTAAAAAAAAGCGTTGTGAAATGTAAAGGATGGATGTAAGGGATGTGGATAGAAAGAAAAATCTTACGACGGTAAGATAATAGTAATAAGGAGAGAAGTAAAGTAACTATAGGATTTAAGGTTAAGTTAAGAATTCTTGTAAAGTAGAAAAGGAACGGAGAAAAAGAATTAGAAGGATTCATGAGGATAGAAAAAAAGTAAATAATGTATCACACGTGGAAGGAAAGAAAATTTCGTTAAAACAAACGAGCGCGACTCTACAGTGTAATTATGAAAGGTGGTGTAATTGACAAGAAACAGTTTTTAAACAGTTAAGAGTTCACAGCTTTCCTTTCTCAACCCTCCTCTCGTTGAGATTTCTCCAAAATTTACTAGTGCTCCACAAACGGGTCTCGTCTGTCCTCCAATCGATTCCCGTTAATTCGACGCGCGCTCTCAGTGAAAAGTCCTTGAGCGCTAGGCGCTCGACTCCGCCTGCTCTGCTAGGACATTTTCACGTTTACTTGCTGCAACGTTACGAGACGCAGTTACTGGTTTTATACCTTTTATATTTTTAACCTCAAATAACTTAAAAAAAATAATAAACGTTTATTTATATAATGGTGAGCTTTTATGTACCAATTTTCTTGTATAAAGATTGCCACCTGTTTAAGAATAAAGTTAAAAATAAAATTAAAATAAAATGAGTACTAAGAGGTTCCTGGAACGACTGATTACAAGAGAATCGGTTAGCTGTTCTATTCTCTTGCTCGTAGTTACCTAGAAGATATGATACACCAACTAGCTTTCCGGAGAAAATGGGCTTTTCCTACCTTGAGTAGACTTCTGATGTGGCTGCCAAGGCACTTTCTTGTAGTCGTTTCGTGATCGTTCTCTCGCTGATGCACCTCTCCTCCCACGTGCCACAGACATTTGTTCTCTGCAGTTTACGCTGTTGTACGTTACAGTTCATACACAGATTGGTATAATTGCAACAGTTCTTCAGGGTTTTTACAAATTTAGAACCAAATTGTAACTGTAAGTTTTAATAGTAACCGTAGGCGCTGAAAGAAATCATAGTACACTTCAAATTACTACGTGTTCCTCTCGCTTCGTGAAGGTGTGATATCAATACACCATATCCCTCATTATATTTCTAATTAGTAATGGAATATTACTTATATTGCACATGAATTAAGACCTTATTTACCTGTTATTTCGAACAGAAATGGAAGGTTACGTTGCTCCCTTAGTTGTCGCCATCTCCTCTTTGGGAAACCAAAGAACCTCTCTTGTCGGCACAACTATTCTCTGCTCGTTTCTTATTGGTTGACAGTTGAATGGTCGAGACGTTCAAATGGTTCGATGACTTTTCGATTAACAGCTTGAGTCGGCGGGTTATTCAAAATAGTAGAGTTGTTTTGCCAACCAAAACAATAGCTGAAATGATTTGTACCTCTAAAATATGAGATTTTCTTAAATGCCTCAATCACAAACTTTTTCTTTCAACTGTTCAAGTTTATACCCAAAACTTTCTGTAGATATTGAACGAACCTTAGTCTTGAAATTTGATTATATTTATTTCACAGTAATAAATAAGAACATGTTTTAATGAAAATTTAAGGACTTTTGACACAGTTTCAAATTCACTCCTGAACCAAAAATTATTATTTAAAGAGTATTTAAATATTTCAGAGGCACAATCCGAGTCTCTTTGAGAGGCACTATAGATATTGTGTACAGCCAACCTGATGTTTTAAAAATAATTTTTTTAATTACACTGAATATAGAGTGTATTTTTATTTACCTTATTGTTAATATAATATTGTATACAACCGATACGTTGAATGACTTTCATTAGTATAGATAATTAGAACAAACCATTAATTAATATGTATCATTGGATCTGCGGGGGATCGGGCTAAAGCACCATATTTGCCCCTCGCCCAATGGGGTGATGCCAACTGAAATATTTTAATATACCGAAATAGGAAGTAAATTGAAACTTACTGATGAGTCGATCAGTTAGATTCAAAGCGTGGAATTGATAAGCATGTAAGTTTTAACAAAATTTAGCAGAATTTCTGTTTGGATGGTTTTTCCGAGCTTGGAGGGATAGGACAAAAACATTGAATTTTTTAAAAGCAGGTGTTTTTGCCTTTTTAGGGAAGTATCATTTGGGGTTTTTTTTTTATCAATAACATTATCTCATTCTTCATGGTGGTGATCTACAAAAGACTAATTGTTACACTGTAGTATTCTAGTACCATACTCAAATTATGATACACTGCTGCATTTTATTAACCATGTGCGGTGTGTAAAGTACGTAGTAAACAATGCCTTCAATAATTTTAAAACACTCCATTGAGGATCAAACCATTGGCTTTAACACTAATTATTTTCTTCCGAATCTGAGCTATCTTAATAACCATCCTACTAAATTTTGCGCGAGTTACACAGAAATTAATCTTTATGACAGAACATTTCTCTTCAAGTAAGATGTTCCCTGGAAATATTGGTGAACAGCTGCAGTTGGACCACCTACAAAATCGCGTCTCAATGCTTCTGCGCTAATTTTGACAGCTGTACCCACACCATACCCATCGGCTGCCGCCAGTCAGATTTCCCATCATCGTTCAACGTAATGTCGTCATGCGTTCAATATCGGTGATTGCTGATGCTCTTCGAGCACGATTACGTCATACGCACTGTTCGCCAATTCCGTGACCTCACATGCATGTTTCGTAGCACCGAAAGTCACACCCGGAGATTTTCCCACGCCTGGCGAGCCTGGAGAGAGGGTCTCTTCCCCTTCTCAAAACAAGCGAAGCCGTCAAGTTCGTTTCCTACGCACTACGTCTATAATGCTTGTTCTTCCTGAGTAATATGGACGATGTGTGATTATTTACATGAATATTTGGTATGCACGACAAATTGTCTTTGTGAACTACTTCGTAACCTTTGGGATGATGTTTTCAAAAGATTTCCATGGGGTCCATGTTTCCAACCATGTTTCAAAAGAGTTGATACATAGAACATTATACATACATAGAACATAGCACTGCTGACAGAGCTAGCTTTGTTTTCCCCGTCTTAGTTTTTACCACATAATACCAACCAATTTTTACCACACAAAATTTTACCCTCAACTTAGTTTTACCACATAACGGCAGTACCTCCCAAAGAGAGGCTAAAAGTGTGAGAATCGATTCCTAAATAAAGAAACGAACAAAAAAGGACGATGAAATAAGATTTTTGAGATAATTGAAATGCTACGTAATATTCGGTCCTAAAAGACCAAAGATGTTGAAGATACTTAATTAAAAATTCAGCCATTCAACTTGGCTGAAAAATTTTAACCAAGGAAAAAACCTATTGTACAACTTTAGTTCTAAAAGAGAGTGGTGGAAAACTAAGAACCTTAGTTTTAAACACGCAAAATAAGGTCAAAACTGATAAGGCGATATAGAGATACACTAACATTAAAAAAGGAATGTCACATGGTCAAAGGGATGTTATTGAAAATTCTGATGGATGATTTATAATGTAAAAATACCATCAGACAATTAAATACATTGTCATCAGACTTAAAACAAAAGGGACATACTGAAAAATTCAGAATAAGCGATAAAAATACGAAAATCTGACATCAAGAAAACAATAGAAACATTAAAAACAGAAAAGATGAAATTCTCTAGCCTGGGGAGCTTGGCGACTGAACGAATTATTACATTAAGTTAGAAACAAGCAGATTACATAAAAATGTACAAATTGAGTGATTTAACAATGGATACAAGTAAATACATGTACATTGAAATAAACCAAATCACTTGAAAATACGTTTATGATAACTTAGTAATAATTCTTATTTAAATAATCAAGATAATGCTTAATAGCTGCAGCCTACTTAATTGCTCTTCGGTACTGCGAGGAATAAAATATGATCGAAAAATTACAGGAGTTGAATGGGAATGATGGAGCAGGTGGTGTTAAGAGAAGAATGAGATACCCCCACGAAATAATGCTGTTAAATTAGTCTTTTTGAAGTTTTACATCGATTGATCGGGATTTAAATTCTAACTTTGAGCGGTAGTACGCTTTGGTTACTAGATCAACACTTCGGTTACTAACAAGTCACATCTAATGAGTGAATGAGTGTGGTATAATTCATTTTATCACATGCTTCGCGTTTATGGATTCGTTCAGCAGATGAATACAATGAAATTTCACAATATTGTTATTAGCCTTACTCATCCTTATTTTCAAAACAATACCGTCTCATTTCATCCCAGTGACCGTTCAGAGAGAAATAATGAATTCTTACCTCCCAAAGAATCCTGTGTCTGCTCAGGAATGTCGTTTTATTATGTGGTACTTGGAAATGTTGATGGAACCTGCGAATCAAATGTTAACGTAAGCCAGTAGAAAATACTATTTGATTTGAGAGTAAAGAACAGTTCAGGTAGTACACAAAAGATAAACACTTTATCTTCTAAGTTTTTGTCTTCTAACCTTGTTCAGCAATTATCTTAAGACTACTAGTATTGAATGAATAAAGAAGTATGAGATGTCCCACTCCGTGTCATTGCTCACCATCTTGAGTGTTACAAAATACATTCGAAAGATTAGGCTCATCGAACTAGTTTTATTTTGTACTCTATAAATCCAAACCACAATTCAACCTAATAATACCTTTCGCTGATAGAGTTTTACAATTACTTTCGGAAGCAATTTCTCCCTGCTGCCAGAAGTATTATATCTACTATTTAGAATCCTAGTTTTAAAAAAGTAGTAGGAATCATTCTATGAGGCGTGAAATAATGTTAAACAGGTGTGAATATATCACGAACACTGACACCATTCGGATTTTCCATTTAAACCATCATGCAGTGTGTCATTGCAAAATATCTTATAATCTCAGAAGTAACGCATCAAGGCACTCCGGGTACGTCAACTCATTTCATTTCGTTCGGAGGAGCGTCAACCGACAAGTGTTTAAGTGCCGATAAGACGTAAGGGAGCTGAGAAGAAGGAGCTGTCTTCGCGGGATCGCAAAGCGTGAAGGCGCGTCTAAGAGCTGCAGTTGCGACGTGACGGGAAACGCAATAACAAGTTAACAAGTGAATTACGCGCAGATCCATCCTCCCTTGAACCGAGAACATCGCATCACTCGTCCCGTTCGTCTTACTCGTCATCGGTTCGCTATCTCCCTTCCGCTTCGTTTGTTCTCTAACACCACCGACCACTCCATCCTTAACATGTAGCTGATAAAAAGAACCAGCACCCAACTCATTAGGGAGATTTTGCCCAGAATCAAGCAGTAAGTCGTATTCGATAGGAAGCCATTTGTAAGAGCTTGCGCTGCCAGATTCTAGAGACGATTATTGATAGATTTACGTTGGGAAGTACGGAATAGCGTACAGCAATGGACTGCGCTTCTGAGCCTCCGCGCATACGTCGCCAGTAGCTAAAGCCACATAAAGTACGTCTTATCATTTTACGATACTCAGAAATTTTCTATTATTCCGTCGCCTCTCACTTGCTGCCTATAAATATTTGCGAAGATGCTTTTTCTTAAATTTCAGACTCATTTCATGATATCACCAATCACGAATTTTCTCAAAAGGTACAAATATTTAGAGGGTAAAAGTGGGGAATATTATTTTTTTTATTACTCTAAAAATTTTTCGGGCGTAAATATATATTTTTCTCTCTAGATAA